GACTCGACTCCAGATTGGTCAAGGTCCAACGTAGTTTCTGAATACCGAGAGATGTTGTGAATAGAGAAATAAGCACTGGAGGAGCTCTCCCTTATGGGGTCTAACGCAACTCGACTCTAGATTAGTCAGGATCCAATGTGGTTTCTGGATACTAAGATGTTAGTACCAAAAAAAAAAAAAAGTTAATTATCATTGCAATTAGATAGAGGTAATAGAAGTTTTTTTTTTTTTTTATCTTGAATTATATAATGAAAGATAACACTCACTCTCATCCTTTAATTTACCTCATTCACATGACATATGACTCAAATTTAAAACTTTTTATTTACAAAAGAAAAAAATTATCACATAATTACTTAAGTTGTTAATGAAAGTAGTAAAAGTTATATCATTACATGATGTATAAATATCATAAAAAGTGAAAAACGAAGAAATGAAGAATGTAAAACATTAAGAAACCAATTGATTTATTATATATATTTTCTCTTTTTTTCTTTTTCTTTTGCCCTAAATATAATAAATAGTGAGATGTACCTATAGATTGCCCCATAATCGTTTTCTAGATATAGATATTTTGCCCATGATCTAACGCTGTATCTACATATGAGTTTGAGATAATATTACCCTAGATGTATCCAATAATGGGATAACAAAAGTTAAAAAATCACATTTGTAAGCTACTGACAAGTAGAGAAACAATATCAGTAGCCTGGGGAACCTTTCTAGAAGAATCAGTGTACCTTCGGTAAACTTACCTTAACGATCCCCTCAAATTATATGGCCTTGCGCAAAATCTGCTATCAACTTGGCAACACATTTAGGCTTCTCAACATGGGGAAGGTGACCAGAATTAGGAACTACCCGTAGGGTCGCATTCAGCAGCTCGCAGTACAACCTCTTCGACATGATTATGACAATCATCAGATATTTGCAACAATGTATACTATTTACTTTTGCATAATTTGGTTCAAGCAACTTAAAACAACATTCAAACCAATACCTGTTGAGGCCTTTGGGTGTATACTAAGTTCAGATTTCAGAATAATTCTTCCTTCATTATATTTTATGTCCCAACACCGAAATAATCATGAATAATGTAGATAAGATGTCATCATAAATAAAACCCTAAAAGCTCAAAACTCACCAAAGTCAGTTTCTTGCTGACAATCTTATCATCCTCGCCACAGATTATTAGTGTTTTCCGCTTTACCTGCAGAAATGAAATTTAGAAATGTTAACAGGGCGAATAAATCTAACTTTCAAATTCAGGTTCTCCCTTTCTCTTAATTTATATGATTCTCTTGAAGAATATCTACATTTAGATGGACAGTTCAGAAACAAATACACTAGTTTTTCATCTCTGGAAAATTAACTTGAGGCCAAAACTTTTATTTGTACCCTACATTATTTTTTTAATTTTATGATTAATATTTTAAATTAATTTTTATTTTAAGTAATATCTTTTAATATTTAAAAACTCATAAAAACCCAATATTATAGTAGCAGAACACATGCCAGTGAATGTTAAGAATTATCAACCAGTGTAACATGTGTTATTCAAACAGGGTGTGTTATTATCACATCTTAAATGATTAATATCATATTTTTTTAATATAATTATTTATTATACTCTTATATTATATTTTTTTGTTTTATAATAAATTAAAAAGTAAAAAAATTAATTAAAATAAAAAATATAATATTAATAATTAACAGTGTGATAATAACGTTATCTTTCAAAAATAACATGGGTATTAAATAATTATAAATTTAGCCAACTGGGTCTATGGCCCAATTGGTTGGACCCCAAGCTTTAGGGCTTGGGTGAGGCGGAGGTCAGGGTTTCGAACTCTGCCACCACCGTGAACTCCACCAACTTGCGACCTAATGATCGCGCGCCTCAAATGAGGGGGTGGAACGTTCACTTTCCTAAAAAAATTTCAACTGCTAACAAACTAACTCTACTAACTTCCTAACCATTTACCTGATCAAAAAAATAATAATAATAATTATAAATTTAATGCGAAGTGTTTTTAAATGAGGTGATATGATTTTTTTGGACACATAAATGCCACATCTGCATTGGCCCACTTATCAGCGGGATTTTCGGCCTTCCTCTGCATCTCAAAAAAATATATATATATCGTACTCTACGATCTGCACAAGATGTCCCTTTTTGGAGATGGGTTTGGCAAATCTTCCCTTTTCAATCTTCTCTGATCTTCCCCTTTCACCTTCTTTCTGCGGAGAAAGTCTACCGTATCCCCAAGGTACAGCGAACGTAGTGTCCCAAACCAATCCATAAACACTGTTTTTTTATCTATGATTGCTGAAGTGTGAAAAATAGCTGATGTGGTGTTACTGGATTGGTTTGGAATACCATGTATGCTGTAACCCGGGATACAGCAGACTTTCTCCTTCCCATGAACCCTACCAAAATTTCTGATAAAAGAGTAAGTGAATTTCTTGAGACCCATTTGGGACAACAGAGATTTGGGACTCCTACCTAACTTGGCAATTCCGGCGGGTTAATGCATCGAGAAAACATAGCAGCCGACGAGGAAATTTAGGATAGTCTTTCTGAGAAAAATCCAGTATTTCCTATAGTAAAACTCGTCGTAAGCCCTGTAGATCCAAAAGATCTATACTTGAATTCCGGGCACTCGGATCACAATCTTACTATCGGGACTCAACATTAGATCTGAAAGATCTTTACTTGTTTAATGGATGGAGTCACATAAGATGAAGAAAAGCTTGCTTTTTTACTTTAATGATAAGAAGCAGTGAAAGCAGCGAATTTTGGGTTACAACAAGGGTGGAGGGATGAGATCTCTGGCTCAGGGATTATGTTTATATATTATGGGTATCTGTAATTATTGCTATGTGAAATTAAAAATTTGGGAATGTGGATGTGCAACGAAGAGAGATAAGAAATAAGATGACAACGGTAAATCTTGTAAATTTAAAGTGAAATGAAGGGTAATTAAGAAATAAAAAATTGTGTAGCTCTGGGTGGAACGCACTAGCCATATCATTAAAGAAAAGAAAAAAAAAGTGCCACGTGAGAATAAATTGTTGCCACCTCATCAAAATAACACCATGTTAGCAAAAATGAAAGTTTAGGTGTTATAGGGATTATTTTTTATTTTAATTTTTTATTTTACTTTTTTATATAATTTTTACATGTCATTAAATGAGTAGATATATTTAATATCACAAATTTTATATAAATTTAAAAAATTAATTATTTTAATAATACATCAAATTGTAAAAAAAATAAAATAAAATAATTGTCCTAATAGCATTTTTTAAAATGGAATGGAAGGTAACAAGCAAGTGCAAGTCACGTGACTTCTTAGTTAAATTTTGGGTTTTTTACTTATTTTAAAAATTGTAAGGTGTTGATTAAAGAAGAAATTTTTTAAGATGTTGATTGCAAGGCACAAATAAAGAGTTTCACTTAATTTTAAATTTGGCCTTTAACGTTGTGTTTGGATAAATTTCAACTTCCTTTTAACTTTCAAATTCTCATTTTCCTCAAACTAAATTATAATCTCTCCTCCTAAATGAAAACCTGTCTGAAGTTTGAAGGAATATATAGAAGAATTATCAGAACTAGCATTGGTACCTGATTTATTTGTGAAATTACATTGTAGCCCCCACTACCCATAAAATTTGCAGTTGCATCTTTCCACCAAGGCATGTGGCAGTGCAAGCGGCCAACCTAAGTCATCGAGTGAGAAACTTCTTAAGACTTGCAATTCAGCGAAGGGAAACTTGGTATACTGTATATTAATTAATACTGAAAAGCGAAAACCACACAGTTGATAGTCACAATGAAACTTACATTAGTCCAATCTAAGCCCCTTGATAAGGAAATGTTATTGAAGGCTAAAACATTAGCATAAAAGCGCAAGGGGAAGGTTTTCAGCAAAGAAACCTGGTCAATAAAAATGATTACAAGGTTAGGGTAAGTTCATTGTTCATTGGTAAGCAAAATAAAGGAGTGAAAGAGGAATGCCAAATAAAATTATTCAAATTAGAGACCCACCGCGGCATAGGCTATTACTTTTGGTAACTTTGCAAGGTTTCCTGTGCCTTCTTCATACACACTTGGATTGATCAAAACCAACTTCTCAACCTGTGAGACAGAGAAAAGCCATTACCATATAAGAAACATAGCTGAGAAACCAGATCTATGCACGAGGGGTTGAGAAGCAAAACCAAGCAAAAAGGAGTGAAATAAAAACAGCTTTCTGTGATCAATGTGCAAATCCATGAGTAATAATCAACTGAAAATCAATTGTATAGGAAGAAATTCCAGATAAATAGTATGAGCTCGATCAGTTATTCAATAAAAACCAACATGAATAACTAATAGTTCTGTACCAGAAACATTCATGGGAAATCTTTTCAGATTTCTTATGAGCAACTTAGACAATTATATTAGTCAGTGCCACTGGATTTGCAGCACCAACTAGAGATGACTTTGAAGAGGCATTAACTAATAGTTACCAGATAATGCATTAAGTCATTTACAACATTGAAAGACTTACAGCTTCTGGATAATTTGCTGTAAAATCAATTGCTACGGAAGAACCAAGGCTTGGTCCAACTAATATCATTGGCCTTTTGATGTGGGACTTCCAAAGCTAGAGTCAAATCAGAATGGAAAAGAAATTAAGCATCCAACATTCATCAATGAACAGAATTATTACAGCAGAAGGTGGTGAATCTCAAGCCAGAATGCCAACTGGAAAATATATATTTGTCTTTGGGTCTCATTTTGTGTGGCCAGGTCTAATGACCAAGAGTACACATTCCAGCACCAAAATAAAAGTGCCAAAGTTTAAGAGCAAAAGAATACCTGATAGAGGTGATAACGCTTGGATACAGCATTACATGGTGGGAGCTTTTCTGCTAAAGTATCACAAGATCAAGGAAAAGAGAGGGGAAAACCAAAAATCAATCCTTACCAAAGCAGGCCTTTGTATTTACAGAACACAAACTGAAAAGTAAATAGGGGTGAGCACATTTCAGATATTACTGAATTATCTTAATTTTTTACTCTAATTTTTGAATTTTGGTTCAGATATTCAGATAACTTTGAATAAAACTAAAATGACTGAAATTAATTTTGGTTTGAATATGGTTATTAACTCATATTTAAAATTATCAATATGAGCCACCAAACTATTTGAAATTATTTGAAATTTTTTAGTACAAATTTATTTTATTTTTTTATTTAAATTTTTGTGCTATATAAAATTTTTTTTAGAAAATTCTTTTTTTAATCAATGTATATATGGGAATATGAAGAAAAAAACTAGAAATAATCAAAATTGAAAAGATAAAGTTTTTAATGACAAAAAGTAAAGAATAATGGTATATTTCGATTATTTTGGTTAATTAACCAAATTATCTAAATAATTTTGTTAAAATTATAATCGAATTAAAAATTTAGTTGAAATTTTAATAAAAGTTTTATCCAAAATTATTTCAGATTATCAAATTTTTATTTCGGTTTAAACAATCCCAACCGAATACACAAAGCTAGAAGTGGATAATCCAGAAAGAGAATCGAAGGAGGTGAATGAACCTAAATCAGAGAAGCCCCACCCTAGGACATCGATAGCCCAAGCCTCCAACCCGGCCTCCTCAAGCAAAGGGTATACACGGCACCATTCTAAACAAGAACTGATTGATAACAGCACATTGAACAAGGTTCAGTAGGAATAAAGCTAGAATTTTTCTATCAGCATATAATTACCATCATGTTTTTAGGCGAATGGTAAGTTCTTGTATTGCAAAATCCCAAAGATATGGATACTTAGACGCTTATGCTATTGACCTGTCAAAGCAATGAAGAAGAACAACTGGATTGGTTCCTTCACTCTGCATTAGAGGTTGCACGCAGCTACTCATTATAAAATGTCCAGGAAACCCAGCCTGCTATTGGATAAGGTCAGCACCTCAATAATGTTCTAATTATTTAACTCTCATCTGTTTGCTACATTGAGTAACAAAGAGGGTGTCTTGATAAAAAATATCTAAATTAAACGAGTAAAAGAGAAGAATAACCCACTATTCAACGAGAACAGGCCCATCAATGTATGCAATAGGCATTACAAAAAGAAATGAGGGGATGAAAAGAAAGGAAGTGAAACCTTGACTGGCAGCCTCTGGATCCTCTGAGCCAAACTTCTGGCAAATGGATCTCTAATCTTTTCAACCTCTTTTGGAAGAAACGAGGGAAACTCGCCACCACCATCACACCTAGCCCCACCGACCACCTTAAGGACACCCTTTGATTCCCCTCCCTTCTTCGTTACTGCCATTAAAGTTGCCGGTGACAGCGAACCCAAGTTGAATGCCATCATCACACTTTCTCAGAAGTAAAACATCAAACACCTATTAAGCTATCATTCAATTTCAAACAACCAAACGATAAATCAACACTGTAGGAATCTACCCCATAATAAATCCATAAATAAATAAATAAAATCAACGGAGAACAAAATTTTAAAACAATACATCATCCTTCCGTACTTTTTTAATGGTTACGTGAAAATATCAATTTGATCCTTTAACTTTGAAATTTTTGTCAAAGTTGTCTCTCTACTTTAGAAAGCACCAAAATTGTCCTTAAATTTTAATTTTTAGTACCAAAATAGTTCTTAAACTTTGAAAATAATACTAATTTCGTCTTTAAACTTTGAAGATAATTTAGTCCACAAACTTTGAACATACTTACCAACTTAGTTTTTAAATTTTGATTACAAATATCAATTTAGTTTTTTAACTTTAATTATATATCAACCTAATATATAAATAGAAATATGTCATAATGATAAAATATAATTGTTTGATTTTACACATTATTAGTATTTTTAAAAAAAAATTAATTTTATGGTCAAATAACAAATTACGTGACATTTTTATTAATGAAAAGACTTTTTAATATTCAAAATTAAAATTTAAAAACAATTTCGATATTTTTTGAAGTTGAAGAATAATTTTGAAATAAATTTAAAAATTGAAAAACTAAATTGATACTTTAATTTAGCAGTTAATATATTAATTAAAATTATAAATTTATAATTATAATA